AGAGAACTTTGACAATGGGCCATTTTTAGGATTATTAGCCATTTTCTGAATTTAGAATGGGCCACTGCCCTTGTATCAATAGTAAACTTCAAAATTTTAATGGGTCATTTTTTATTCTGATGTGCAAAATGGCCATGGCCCCTGCCTTTCCCAATCACTGAAACAGGTAATTTGTGACGTCATCCAGCCTACTTCTTACTACTTGCACCAGATCGACTCTCAACAAGACATTTTCGTCATACCTTTGGATCATAATACGATGACAATGATGATACTAGATACAGAGAAGAACATTTATTAACACTCTAAAACCATGCAGTTAGACACAGACATAAGTGAGTTCGACCAAAGCATTAACTTATTAATACATGTATATTCTAATCATGAGAGTTGTCCGTCATAATATGACCTTAGGTCATCACCGTGGTGTAGCCAATGACGGACTCGATCTCACATATCATTCGTCACCACTCGCCCCTTTCCGTAACCTCCAAGAAGACATTCCGACTTGTCTCGGAATATCACCTATGTGGAGGTTGTCCTGGGAATGGCTGATGAATCATAGGTTTGGGCTGTCCAAACCAAGAGGTGAAGTTATGAGCAATAGCCGACGATAGCAAGCACTAACCTAAACTGGCCCTTGGATTCTTTAAGTAGTCTATTACTACTTTTATAAGTCGCTGGGGCTAATTCCCAGCGATTAACAGATTTAGGTTTCCAGGTGAAACATTTTGTTAAACATGTTTGGATGAGGGTTTATTTTTGGGTCTTAAGAGAAGCAGGGGTTTGTCAGAATATTCGAAAAACGCCTGTATTTTTTTCTTATCTAATATTTGTGTTTTGAGGTGAGGTGAAATTGGGTTTAACGTCGTGCTTGAGAATATTTCGCTCATATGACGACGTGCATGCGTGTGTATGTGTATGTGCGGCTGCTTGTACTAGCCCAGACTTAAGCTGGTTTTATAGTGCTAGCCCACTGAGATACCATGCCGCAGTGAAGCATGAATACCCCACTCAGACACAGTATACTGACTCCGAGCCGACCAGTCCTTGTTGTACCCATTAATGCCGAGCGCCAGGCAGGGATTTGTTTTGTAATCCTCTGTCTTTGAATTGCTGAAATGGTCTTTAAACTCGTTATCTGAAACTACCGCCATTGTCTGCACCGCGTCTGTTACGTTATGTCACAACAGACAGGCCCTACTCCCACTTGACAACATTCGTGGTCGCTGCAACACAGTCGTTAGAAGCTTATAGGATTTGAAATTGACCCCACTCCCTGTCTTGCCATGTGCAAATGGCGGAACTAACCAGTCGCCCATCCAGCAGGTTAAACCTGGAGGAGTTAATGGCTTGACAATGATACGTGGCATGACCTTACCTCGAGAATCCAACCTGATGGTCAAAAAGTAACGCCAAGCCACTTCACATTCGATACTTTAACTATATTAGAGGCCCATGGTTATTACCTCGAGGACTGAAATCAATACAAATTGGGGGCGGTGGGGTTGCCTAGTGGTTAAAGCGTCCGCTCGTCACGCCGAAGACCCGGGTTCGAATCCTTACATGGGTACAATGTGTGAAGCCCATTTCTGGTGTCCTCCGCCGTGATATTGCTGGAATATTGCTAAAAGCGGCGTAAAGCCAAACTCACTCACTCACTCAATACAAATTGACCGAAATTTAACAAGCAGGGATGGCAAACCTTTTACATTTAACGACATATGTTGGTAACCATAGCAAATAATCATTGTATCCGTGGAAACGGATATGAAGAGAATGTTGATATTTTTATTAGATATTGACTTTCAGTGTGTATTTCTCTTTATACGTATATCTAACGTGCCGTACTGAACACAGAAACCGTTAGACAAATTAAATTTGTTGGTATTGCTATTTCAGTCGAAGTTAACCATTTTCCGGTTGGTTAGAAAAGCGGCATTATATATAGGTTCCTACTCACTAACTATCAATGCCCCGCAAGCCGCTGACACGCTGTCTGTTTCCGTATTAAAATGGTGACATAGTGGAAACTAATTGTCTTACCGAATCCCAAATTCTGGCCATTCGAGTGAGTGAGTTTAGTTTTACGCCGCTTTTAGCAATATTACGGCGGGGGACGCCAGAAATGGGATTCACACATTGTATCCATGTGGGGAGTCGAACCCGGGTCTTCGGCGTGACGAGCGAACGCTTTAACCACTAGGCTACCCCACCTTCCTCTCATCATGCTAAGGGTACATTTCAGGAAACGGTTTTATGAAGTGAAGGGAGTAATCATTACATGTCATAAGTTGATGTAATAATTTCATGAAATTCGTGTCTATTCATGGAAATTGGGTAGAGTCATTTAGAGAGTGTCGTACACTGGACTCACGGTGTCTACTTTCGAGGAGCTACGGTAACCGAGCCTGGGCCAGGGAATATGGATGTCGGGTGTATGGAAGATATTTTCAGTTTACTGCAATTTAAATATACAAATTTATAAATAGAAGGAATATTAATTGAAAAAATAATGGAAACACCCTTCGTTCCTGCAAACACGCGTCTTACCGATAACTGTTCTGGTAAAGTGTCTGACAAATGCGCGAAAACACTCGAAACTGTGCCCCTAAATTACAATCACTACTGTATATTTGTATTATGTATATAAATGAGAATCTCTGTTATGCGATGCTCATTCATAGGATGCATGTAAAACTGCCTGTGTTGGTTAAAGGTTTGTTGTTTAACGCCGCACTCAGCAATATTCCAGCTATATGGCGGCGGTCTGTAAATAATCGAGTCTGGACCAAACTATCCAGTGACTAACACCAACAAATAACAAGACGTGGACGTAGACAGCGGGGACAGCGACATCAGACTACAGTTGGATGATACAGCGTGGTATATCACTAAGGTCAAGTCAGCTAATTCGCTTTCTTGATACTTAGTCGGCCAGCAAAGGTTGGTTAGTTGGTCGTTGTTTTACGCCGCACTCAGCAATATTCCAGCTATATATGGCGGCGGTCTGTAAATAATCGAGTCTGGACCAGACAGTCCATTGACCAATAGCATGATCATCGATCTAAGTGATTGGGATACGATGACATGTGTCAACTAACTCAGCGAGCCTGACCACCCGATCCTGTTAGTCGCCTCTTACCACAAGCATGAGTTACTGAAAACCAGTTCTAACCCGAATCTTCACGGGCCTGCTGAAGGAGGCATCACACAGGTAGGACTGAGGCCCAAGACACAGTCATCCATCCAACCAATCTCTGCAACCACCGATGCTTGACCTGACCTATCTTCACTGGTCCATATTGTCTGTAGTAGCCGTATTTTGAGCAAACCCACATGCCTAAGGTGAGACCACATGTTATTCGATGGTTATGTGTTTGATACGGGTACCACAGGCAGTATTCGTATCAAATACATAATCATCGAATAACACGTGGTCTCACCTTAGGTAAGTGAGTTTGTTCAAAATTGTCTCTGTTCACCAAACAGGGAATGGGTACCCGGTGGGATTTGTCATATGACCATTAACCTTCTAGCGCCTCACAGGCAGCTTGGGTTATTCGGGTCACATTGTCCATCGTTTGCATGCGGCGGTTCAGCGCTATAAGTGGCCTTATTATTTAATATTTGTTTCTCTTTTTCACGCCATTAAACAGAAATAGCTGACTGTTTATTTTCTCTTTTTCTGACATAACCATGACAACATAATCACAACCGACGCAGTGTGATCATTAACTAGGAGACAGATTCACAGGTAAACGTATCATATATCCATTGTCTGCCTGTCATATCAACTGGTCACTTCTTATCAATAGAACCCTGAACTCTTCAACTCTTATCGTTGACCAGTGGACATCCATACACTCCAGTCTGTGAAGATATAGTCCAACCCAAACCCGTTTCTATGTATCAGGTACTATATGAAAGGCTTGCATATACATAGCTGCCACTTAACAATGGAAACCGCTTCTACGCTGTGGGCGTATTTTGTTGCCATGTTTGTTTCCAGACTGGTGTCCTTGAGATGAGATGAATGCGTCTATGGGGATAATGTTATTGTCAGCGGTATATTCACGAGATAATAAAGAGGATTATAAGCATGTCTCTTTTGTCGTTCTTTGTGAAGCCGGAACAAGTCTAAGCTTTAAGCGCAGGTTCACCGCTTGAAGGCGAGGAACCACAATTGTCTTGTTATGGTAGACAGCGGGACATCAATGTTGAGTCATTGTGTTGGTTAATGTGCTTACGGGATTAACATCAGTAAACCGACATTAATTATTCGGGAAACTAATAACAGAACTATGTGGAAATGCTCATTCTGTCCTTGACATTAATATATCACTATGACGCGGGCAACAGGGTGGGGGTTGTGATAATCACAGCTTATTATAATAATAATAATAATAATAATAATAATAATAATAATGATGATCACAATACTTATGCCTCAGGTAAAACAATCGTAACATGGGAACATACAATTACCCGGCTGCTCCATTGTGTGCTTTTGAAAGTTGTGCTTGGGAGTAACTTTTAGCAATATTCCAGCTATATCACGGCGGGGGACACCAGAAATGGGCTTCACACATTGTGCCCATGTGGGGAATCGAACCCGGGTCTTCAGCGTGACGAGCGGACGCTTAAACCATTACACTACCCCACCGCCCTTAAAGTTGTGTTTGGACATACCAGTCGTTCAAAATCCTAGAATACGAAGCTGTTTGGTGACTTGTTTTGTGGCCGAACTCACTTGATTCCAGTCAAGCACTTACTACACCCCACGGGGTGCATGCTCAGTGCGTTTAACAATTTGGTGAAACCAGCAAGAACCGTCAAATATCAGTGCTAATCCTCGACCGTAGTTTCTGACATGTTCAGGGGACGTAACTCTCTGCAGCGAATTAGGCAACCTCAATCCACTGAGCCACCGTTCTCTCCCCGTTCGGTATGTTGCTAGTGACGTCACATGTCATTATATTGTTTATTTTTTCTTTCAGAAATTGTTAAAGATGTCATTAAGCATAGCAGTTTTGAGAAGAATTGTGCAGATGACGTCATCATCCAACAGGGTGACCAAGGCGACAAGTGAGTATACTTACCTTAAATGGTATTAATAATTGCCACTATTGTTAGTGACGTATTTTTCTTTTGAGGTGATGTTTACCCTTAGCAATAGTTTAGGGACTTGTACATTATTGACATAAACCACTGACTCCGATCGATGAGAAATGTCCCATTTCATCCCAGGATTGATTGGTCCAGACTCAGTTATGTACAGGCCACCCTCATGTAACTGAAATATTACTGATTACTGAGTACATGCAAACAAACAAACCCTGCGATGCTGTGTTTCCTTCTTGTGGAAAATCTTAGAAACGAAGGTCACTATGTTGGCCTTAAGACGTTTGTTTTTTGGTTGTTTTACGCCGCACTCAGCAATAATCCAGCTGTATGTGTCAGTCTGTAAATAATCGGATCTGGACCAGACAACCCAGTGATTAACAGCATGAGCATCAATCTACGCAATTGGGATACGATGACATGTGAACCATGTCAGCGAGCGTGGGGCCCGTTTCACAAAGCGATCGTAGCGCTACGACTGTCATAAGTCTATGTTAAAGTATGGGAGTTACGATCACCTTAGCGCTACGATCGCTTTGTGAAACGGGCCCCTGACCTCCCGATCCCGTTAGTCGCCTCTTACGACAAGCATGGGTGGCTGAGGACCAATTCTAACCCGGATATTCACGGGTGCTGACCATTAACAAACAAAAGGCAGGGATGGACAGTTCCAGGTGTGTCTCGATTTGCTGAAGGTCACCATAACCCGACGGTGTTAAACGCTGCTCTTGCTATCAACCACTGGTTTGTCTTGTACAAGAACGATTCTTCACAAGCCGACGTGTTACGGCTACCGTGTTGCTAAATAACGTAAAACAAACAAACAAACAAACAAACAAACAAAAGTCCCCATTTCAACTCATGTTACATAATTTATTAACCGATTCTGCCACTTGAATTGAAAAGAATGCCCATATAACGGTTAATTTGTATATTTGTATGCTACAAATTCAACGACGACAATGCTCTGTGTTGTATTTATTGTATTAGTGTATGCTGGATTCTGCCCCCATTCAGTTCTTTAACGCGGATATACTTTCAAACATGACTGAACACATTCGTCAAAGCTGCCAATTTATTGAAGTATTTGCCACGAATGACATAAAAATTAATTGGTTTGGACTCAGCTATGGCAATACCTGGCACTTTTCACCTCCACAACAAAACGTTTAACGACTAAACAAAGGTAATAGTACGCGTTGGCTGTTGTAGGCTAATATTAGCAGAAAAACATTGGTATAATGGTTTAATAATAGGGCCCCGTTTCAAAACATTTGCTGTAGAAACTGTATAGTGCTTGCCAGGTTGTATGGGTTCAAGCTTGGGTCAGTGAGGGTAGTCTATAGGAGGGGTGTATGTGATCAGGTGTATAACGCTGAAGGTGTGTATACACGTGTGTCGATATGTCACTGTCATTACGTGACATTGTGTCGAACAGGTGTGACAGGTATGTGTTATGTCACATGATTGTATTTTGTGCAGAGGTCGCACGTTGGTGCCAAAGTAATTCACAACGTCTTGGATTATTAATTGTGTTTGTATTCGCTCGTGTTGAATGTGTGGAAGTAGTTCTAGCTGAAACTCTTACATGTCTAAACTGTAAAGGCATCATTGAATAAATTAGTGAGTGAATAAGTATGGTTTGACGCCGCTTTTAGCAATATTCCAGCAAATGGGCTTCACATGTTGTATCCAAGTGGGGAATCGAACCTGGGTCTTCAGCGTGACAAGCGGACGCTTAACCATTAGGCTACCCCACCGCCCCTTGAGAGGGTTGAGTGAGTCGGTGAGTGGGTGAGTCAGTGGTTGGAGTGGTTGAGTCAGTGGGTGGTTGGGTGAATTAATGATTGGTGAGTGAGTGGTTAAGTGAGTTCACGAGTGAGTGAGTTAAAATTTAAAGTCACATTGGCAGTATTTCAGTCATATATACTATCCCCCCAAAAGAAACGCATAGGTCAGAAATCTGTTGAGAAAATGTTGTATTTTCAAACATGTATAACTCGTCCACAAATAGACTTTAGTACATGAATTTTTACATCAGTTTAGAAGAAGGTAATGTCTATACAACCAAGTGGATACTTTTAGATAACGGAGACGTTGAGCGCGATGGTGACGACGTAGCACGGTCCCGACGTCGGGTCTCCTGGCTCTCAGACCAATCTCTCTCAACCTGTTCCGTACAGTTTGACCGGATATCCTCCGAAGTCCAGGCACCCTGGCTGCTGTGCTCTCACCCGTGGCAGTACGATCACGCAAATGTAGTACCCGGATGTACCGATCTTGGGCGGCAGTGGTGACTCGAGGTCTGCCTGTACGGGGACGGTCATTTGTTATACCTGTTTGGTTGTAAGGAGCTACAAGCCGTGATATCGTGCTCAGACTAACATTCAGACGCCTGGCAACAGAAGATTGGTAATATCCAGCGTGCATTCTTTCAATGGCGATTTTCCGTGTCGCAGCGTCAAGACGTGGCGTAGTGATTTGACCTTGAAACTCCTTCAAAACGAATGCCAATTTCCGAAAGTAATCTGTATTTTTATAGCCAGACAGTGCATGCTCTTTGCTGCACAATTTCAACTGGAAGGTGATTTCTGTTGCGTTGTGGCGATGCCTTTTTAATCCTTGTAAGAAATCTCATCAAAATCAATATTTTCAGGTAAAGTCGATTTTTCACTTGTGCAATTGTGTAAAATCATGTTATCAACACTTTTGTTACATATTTTGACGATTGTTTGAACACAATAGGTAATTAATAGATTTTTAAAAATACAAAACGCCTATGCGTTTCTTTGTTTGGATAGTATATATTAAGGCGTCTGAATTCATAAAGTAGCGTTGCATCCCTTCCCCGTGCCAGGATGCGCTGATCAGAATCCACGTTTCGCCCTGACCATTATGTCATTGGCGAATGCACGTTGTTTTGAAAATGACCTAAGACCATTATTTCTTTTTCGTTGGCGGAGCCAATGGGGGTTCAGGGTTCGGACCCCCCCCCCCCTTCAAAATCTGGATCCGCCCATGTATGTTACCATAGTCTCCGACCTGTGTCACATTCCTCCCTCGTTTAGTGACTTGAGTAAAGACACAGCAGCGTTAAACCGATCTCACTCACTCACTCACCGACATATTGCAGGCTGTACATCGTGCTGCGGGGAAAGGTGTCCATCTACGTCATCCACGACAAAGAGAATGAGAACGACGTCGTCGACCAGGTGCAGAGCGCGTGCAGCAAAAAGAAACTGGACAGGTCCCTCCTCGGACAGCACGTCTGGACATCAGGTAGGGTCAGATAGTGTACTGGGGTGGGTGCGAGGAGGGTAAGACACCCGGGTAGTGTACTGGGGTGGGTGCGAGGTAGGGTAAGACACCTGGGTAGTGTACTAGGGTGGGTGCGAGGTAGGGTAAGACACCCAGGTAGTGTACTGGGGTGGGTGCGAGGTAGGGTAAGACACCCAGGTAGTGTACTGGGGTGGATGCGAGGTAGGGTAAGACACCCGGGTAGTGTACTGGGGTGGGTGCGAGGTAGGGTAAGACACCCGGGTAGTGTACTGGGGTGGGTGCGAGGTAGGGTAAGACACCCGGGTAGTGTACTAGGGTTGGGTGCGAGATAGGGTAAGACACCCAGGTAGTGTACTGGGGTGGATGCGAGGGAGGGTAAGACACCCAGGTAGTGTACTTGGGTGGGTGCAAGGTAGGGTAAGACACCCGGGTAGTGTACTGGGGTGGGTGCGAGGTAGGGTAAGACACCCGGCAGTGAGTGTACTGGGGTGGGTGCGAGGTAGGTGAGACACCCGGGTAGTGTACTCGGGTGGGGTGCGAGGTAGGGTCAAATACACGTACGGGTGGTGTACTGGGGTAGATGCGAGGTAGGGTCAGATACCCGGGTAGTGTACTGGGGTGGGTGCGAGGTAGGTCAGATACCCGATAGTGTACTGGGGTGGATGCAAGGTAGGGTCATATACCTGGGTAGTGTACTGCGGTGGGCACGAGGTAGGGTCAGACACCTGGGTAGTGTACTGGGGTGGGTGCGAGGTAGGGTCAGACACCCGGGTAGTGTACTGGGGTGGGTGCGAGGTAGGGTCAGACACCTGGGTAGTGTACTAGGGTGGGTGCGAGGTAGGGTCAGATACCCGGGTAGTGTACTGGGGTTGGTGCGAGGTAGGGTCAGACACCTGGGTGGTGTACTGGGGTGGGCACGAGGTAGGGTCAAATACACGTACGGGTGGTGTACTGGGGTGGATGCGAGGTAGGGTCAGATACCCGGGTAGTGTACTGGGGTGGGTGCGAGGTAGGGTCAGACACCCGGATAGTGTACTGGGGTGGGTGCGAGGTAGGGTCAGACACCCGGGTAGTGTACTGGGGTGGGTGCGAGGTAGGGTCAGACACCTGGGTAGTGTACTGGGGTGGGTGCGAGGTAGGGTCAGACACCTGGATAGTGTACTGGGTGGGTGCAGTTAGGGTCAGACACCTGGGTAGAGTACTCAGGTGGATGCGAGGTAGGGTAAAGACACCCGGGTAGTGTACTGGGGTGGGTGCGAGGTAGGGTAAGACACCCGGGTAGTGTACTGGGGTGGGTGCGAGGTAGGATAAGACACCCGGGTAGTGTACTAGGGTGGGTGCGAGATAGGGTAAGACACCCAGGTAGTGTACTGGGGTGGATGCGAGGGAGGGTAAGACACCCGGGTAGTGTACTTGGGTGGGTGCGAGGTAGGGTAAGACACCCGGTTAGTGTACTGGGGTGGGTGCGAGGTAGGGTAAGACACCCGGGTAGTGTACTAGGGTGGGTGCGAGGTAGGGTAAGACACCCGGGTAGTGTACTCGGGTGGGCACGAGGTAGGGTCAAATACACGTACGGGTGGTGTACTGGGGTGGATGCGAGGTAGGGTCAGATACCCGGGTAGTGTACTGGGGTGGGTGCGAGGTAGGTCAGATACCCGATAGTGTACTGGGGTGGATGCGAGGTAGGGTCATATACCTTGGTAGTGTACTGCGGTGGGCACGAGGTAGGGTCAGACACCTGGGTAGTGTACTGAGGTGGGTGCGAGTTAGGGTCAGATACCCGGGTAGTGTACTGGGGTGGGTGCGAGGTAGGGGCAGATACCTTGGTAGTGTACTGCGGTGGGTGCGAGGTAGGGTCAGACACCTGGATAGTGTACTGGGGTGGGTGCGAGGTAGGGTCAGACACCCGGGTAGTGTACTGGGGTGGGTGCGAGGTAGGGTCAGACACCTGGATAGTGTACTGGGGTGGGTGCGAGGTAGGGTCAGACACCCGGGTAGTGTACTGGGGTGGGTGCGAGGTAGGGTCAGACACCTGGATAGTGTACTGGGGTGGGTGCGAGGTAGGGTCAGACACCTGGATAGTGTACTGGGGTGGGTGCGAGGTAGGGTCAGACACCCGGGTAGTGTACTGGGGTGGGTGCGAGGTAGGGTCAGATACCTGGGAAGTCTACTGCGGTGGGCACGAGGTAGGGTCAGACACCTGGATAGTGTACTGGGGTGGGTGCGAGGTAGGGTCAGACACCTGGGTAGTGTACTGGGGTGGGCACGAGGTAGGATTAGATACCCGGGTAGTGTACTGGGGTGGGCACGAGGTAGGGTCAGACACCTGGGTAGTGTACTGGGGTGGGTGCGAGGTAGGGTCAGATACACGGGTGGTGTACTGGGGTGGGCGTGAGGTAGGATTAGATACCCGGGTAGTGTACTGGGGTGGGCGGGGATGGGTCATTTAGATACTGATTATTCACTAATGATGACATAAAACATTAAAATTAGTTCACCGTGAACACATTCTGTAAGGGCTGGAATATTGCCAAAAGCGGCCTAAAATCACACTCATCACCTTTTGCAGGCGAGGGTCAAGCATTTGGCGAGGTGGCCCTGATCAAAGAGGACTGCATCCGTACGGCGAGCGTGGTGGTGGACGAGGAGACGGACCTGTTGGTTGTAGACAAGGCCCTGTACAACAGGTCAGTCAGGGATGTGATGGAACGAGAGTACAACGAGAAGACAGCCTTTGTGGAGAAGAACCCGCTGTTTAACACGTGGTCCACCAAACAGAAGCGACATCTCATCATCAGCTTGAAGAAGGAGACAGTTCATTATGGCTGCAGACTGACGAAACAGGGCCAGGCTGCCAATAATATGTACTTCATACTACGGTAAGATATCTAAAAGTTGTTGATTTCTTCGTATATTGTTTCATAGTAAAGGGGTTGGTAGGATAGGTAAGTGGATAAAGCGTTCGTTCGTCATGTCGTAAGTCCGGGTTCGATTACTCTTGGGTTCAGTGTGTGATTTCTGTTTACTGGATCACTTCTGGGTAAAACCTAACACATTTTACTCTTTTGGGCGGTAACCGGTTTCACTAAACAGGTCTTGAAGGGTAGAGGTAAAAATCTAATTACTACTTATGAATACACAATGCCAATTAGAAAGGGGTCAAATGTAACATAGTTTATATTTGGGGTTATACCTTCTCAGTGAAGTAAAGATTCTAGTACTTTTGTTGTGTTGGGTCCCATCCGAGGCTGCTCGGGTAGCTCAGTTGTGCGAGTTGCCTCCCTTGGGCTCACCAGGAACCTATGATCGTTCCAATCGAGGTTCACCATGGTTACTAGTATGTTTCTGGTTTTGTCAACCCATATATGTGTTGGTTGGTTTTACCAAAGTTTAAAATGTCTGAGACTAGCATCACTGTCGTCTTTCCTCTCACGTCACGCCGATACACCGTGACATATACTGCAGACACAACTCACTCACTTCCGCGTCTTCATTACATCGCGGTGGGGTGACCTGATGGTTAAAACACGGAAGAGTAGGGTTCGATTCTCCACGTGGGTACAACTTGTGTAGCCCATTTCTGGTGTTCCCCGACGTGATAATGCTGGAATATTGCTATAAGCGAACATACTCATTTCATGGTAGACAAATACCAGTACACAGCGTACCAAAATATCAGCAGGTGTTGCTGGTGTACCGTAAATATCAACGTCATATAGTCCTAGAATATACACGGGAGTTCGGGAGTCGTAACAATAAAGGTGGGATGTGTACTGTGTTTTTAGTTTTAATAACTGACAAGTGTGTTTTTCTTTGTTGTTTCAGGGTGAAGTGGAAATTGTGCTGGACCAGGCAGCGTATAAATTCCAGTTTCCACAACAATGGGCGGAGCTTAACACAGTGCTGCCGGAACTACTTTCCGA